ACAACAACAACAAGAAGGATTTCTGGTGTGGTGCTGTGGGTTAATGCACTGGACTGCAAAGTCGGTTTGAGCTGCAAGGTTGGTGGTTTAAGCTCACCAGCCCCTCCTTGGAAACCCTATGTAGGGTCACTATGGGTCAGAACAGACTTGACAGCACTTAACAACAAGAGGGTGCCTATGGTGTCCTGGTGTGGCACTGTAGGATAAGCACTCGACTATAAAGTCGGTTTGAACTGCAAGGTTGGCAGTTCAAACTCACCAGCTCCTCCTTGGAAACCTATACAGTGTTGGCACTTCACAAAAACGGACAAAAACAAGGCTCCTATCTTACCTTTCAAGTTGCTATTATCAGTTTGATTCCATATCCATCTTAAAAGAGCGTAGTCTTCAAGGTAGATCTGTTTTACTAGGTAAGTTTAACTATTGTTTGATTTTAAGATGACACTTTAGGACATATTTTGGGGTAAGGTTTCAAGGTAATCTCAGTGCACTAGTTTCAGGGATTCAACTATCTGCTGTGGCCTCAGAAAGCTAGAGTCATGAGAATTTGAAATTCTGTTTTGCAGTTTGTCACCTTTATGGACTCTTTGATCAAAGCATTCCATAATGGTAGTTGGGCACCATCCAGTTCTTCTGGTCTCACAGCAAAGAAGGCAGTTGTCAACATATTCCGTATCCTGCCTGTCCTTCTTCCCTCTGCTACTCCAGACACATGGTTTTCAACTGTTGTTCCTTGAATGGCCACTTGAAAGCTTTTAAGACGTCAGACACAATGCAATGAACCAAGCAAATGCAGATTATTTATAAGGGAAATGGTGCCAATATTTTGTTCCTATATACTTGGACCCGTCAATCACATGGAGGATATAAAAAGGACTCCAAGACAAAGGAGGGCTGAGGGAAGCTATCTCCAGGTTGGCAGGTACTGGCGAGGGCCCCTGCAGTGTTTTCTGAGGGAGATCTGTGGGTGGGTAGACTAAGGGGGCTGTGAGGGACTTCTTGGAGAGCTTTGAGATGTGCTCCACAGATAGGATAAACAGAGATCCAGGTCTCTCTGGGCACCTGGAGGGGAAATGGCAGACCAGATGTTGGTGGGGTCGCCATCCCAGAACAAGTGGGTGAGTGCTCCAGAGTGGACTGGAGGGGGCATGGGTAGAGACAGCCAGCGTGCACCTCTATGACAGGGGCTTCTGGAGGTTCAAAGGACCATGGCAGGAAGAGGCTGGAGTGGTACCACAGATGCCCAGGAGCAAAGGGAGGAGTCATGAGGGCCCAGGGAAGGGAGTATCTCTGGCTGAGTAAACTCCAGGAAAAAGGCTCACTGCAGTGAGTCTCCACAAAAACTGACAATATCTGAGTGGCCTGGACCTGAACTCACCCCTGGGGCTCGACTTTCAGTCAAACACTAGCGCTCGGGAGGTATGCTCTCCTTTGAATAGTCTACCATAGGAGATAAAAAAGACAGCATTTGCTCAAGGACAAAGTTCGAAAGGTTCAGAAAGAAGGGAAATGGAAACAAAACACACAGAAAGGAAGTGGGATAAATGATATGATAATTGTGGGAATTGCAGTCAAATGAAAGAAAATGAAATAAAACATGTATGAACTGTTGAATGAAAACTGATATGCTTTGTAAACCTTCACCCAATTCACCATAAAAATTTAAAAAAAGAAAGAAAGAATGCCTGGGTGGGAGAAGCTCTGTCTCCCATCTGCTAGGACTGAACAGGGAGAACAACTCAGACAGCTTGCTCTCAACCCTGACCGTGAGCCTACTCTTCTTACCCCAATAGGTTTCCTGCTCCGAGAGGGACTGGGGGGATGAGGTGGTGGCTTTATCCTAAATTCTGAGTTTGGATCATTAGAATGTACAAAAAAGGGCTCGTGATGGAGGAGCAGGAGAATCACAGAGCACAAACTGTGAAGGACAAGTCAAAGACAAGTCAAGGCCTTCCTGGGAGGTGGGGCTCGGCAGGGTCACTTACTGCCGAGAAACGTGTCCACCAGGATGAGCAGTAAGTGAAGTGCTTGGAGTGGGTGAGGGAGAGGAAGCGGTTGAAGATGCTGGAGTACCATTCTCAGATGATACAGTGCATGGTAAGCACAGGCTCAGGTGGGAGGTCAGATGAGTTGTGTTGAACTCTGGAGATGCCCAAAGCAGGCAGTGAGATGTGCTGATCTAGAGCACAGTAGAGTATGTGGAAAAGAGCCCATGGCCTGAAGACACTTAGAGACAGAGGTAGGAGGAGACCCTGGCCAAGCTCTTTAGACAGAGTTATTTGCTGTTGAGGAAAAGCCAAGGATGGGACAGAGAAGGCCCCATTGAATCCGGGTAGAAGCCGGCCAGCAGAGAGCTTTCGGTGGGATGGTGGTAGAAGCAGCAGGGAGGTTGTGATAGGCTGAGGTGTGACGGGGAGATGTGGACAGGGAAGCTGAAGGTCATGAGTTTCAGGTCCAAGGGCCACTGTAGCTCATGACTCAGGAGTTACTCCTGCTCCAACATAGGGCGGTGCCCATGACAACAGCCCTTCATGGTGTCTGCTTTCCAAACATTCCCCATTGTGTCACCCCTAGCTGTGGTCTTCTTTCCCCAGAGCTCAGACTAGGAGCTTAGAAGGCAGGGTCTCTGCCCTCTCATGGGCAGAGAATGTCCTTACGGTGGGCAGATGGGCCTTTTTCTGGACAGGCCTTTGCTCTCAGCATTTCCCTCGGTAAACTACCAGAAATCATGTGTGGTTATGGGAATGGCATCCCATCCCATCCCATCCCATCCCTGCACCCAAGCCCTGGCCCTCCCTGGGTTTGCTCAGAATCAGGCCCACCCCTCCTTGGTCTCTGCTCTGATCTGTGTAAAATCTCAGCACCAAGAACGCAGCTCAGACGAGGTCACATAAGCCATTTATTAGTTTGTTTTAAAAATATGTATTTTATTTATACACGAAGTTTGGTGAGAAGTGCTCGATTAGTTCAGACAACATCTGGCATTTGATGCTTGTCTCTCCTCTCTTTGTTCCTCTCTTGCTGGTCAGTGTGCAATTCCAGAAAAGAAAAACTGAGAGCTACGCTAAAAGCTAAGGAGTTGGGTGTGCACGCCCCTGCCCTCAGCCACACTGTCTGTCAGCAGCTGGCCCTGGGCACTTGTCTCAGGGCTCCTGGACTGTCCACACACAGAACCACAGTCTCTTTCTGGTCATCTGGGCTGGCAGCTCGGCCTGCCTCCTATACCACGTCTGGCCTGTGTGGTGGACAGAGTGGACTAGGGAGGGGCACACACCCCTCCACGTCTTGAGAGTAAAGCACAGAGATGTACAAAAATAAGATTTTTTACTTAAAGAAGGAACCGAGATGGTTAAAACTAAGTCCCACTCTGGACTCAAAGGGAACATGGGAGAAGAGAAATAGCAAGGAAGTGGGGTGGGGCGGGGGCTGGGGTACCACCAAGGGAACTCAGGAAGAAAATTAATACTTGACTCGCCGGTAATGCTCCCTTCCGCAATGCCACGAGTGTCACGAACGGCCAGCCTTCAGACAGCTCGGCGAGGTAGGTTAGGAAGAGCCAGTCTCCGGCATCCCAGGCTGCCCGGAGTGGGCACGTGAGACTGAGGTGACTTGTGCGTTGGATGCCTGATTGGGAGGGGTGGCTCTGCTGGAGAGCTGGGACCGGGCATTGGAGCCCCTGCCTGCTCAGGCCCTGCCAGCCGACACTGTCACTCTTCTGGTGACAGTTCTCTACATTAAAAGATTTGCATATGCTAAATAGGATTGTCAGCAGCTGAAGAGGCCCCCAGGGGAATTGGACTAGAAAAAGTATTTTTCCCTGAAAAAGCTTTCTCACAAGACCTATGGGGCAGCCTGGACTTTGCCCCAGAACATTCCTGCCTGTAGAACAAGGCTGATACAGGTGCTGGTCTGGCCTATGTTGCTTCCTTTCTAATGGGCTCACGGTTCCTCGCCCTCTCAAGGCAGGAACACGGCCCCTTCCCTCCACAGCGCCCAAGTGACCTCCCTTTCCCATGCTTCTGCATTTAGAGAGGAGCTGGGGGCAACAGAGGTCCCCTGTCTACATGGTCAGGGGCAGAAAGGCCCAGAGATGGGCTGAGGGCCACACTCAGCCTGTGTTGAGCTTCTCAGTCCCAAGACTGCATGGTTCAATCAGCCTTCCTTGCCCTTGGCCTCTTGGGCAGGGTCTGCCAGGTCCCAGGAGTAAGGAGCAACTGTGTGCTAGGCTGAGAGCAGGCTGCTTCCTGGGTCCCTTCAGTTTTCATGGTAATACTCATATAGGAGGCCAAGCTCTCCTTGGAAGAAAAGGCAACTTTAAGTGCCAAGGCACAGCCTGGGGTCCAGGCACCTCTCTTCTAGAAGCTAGAAGCTTTTTTCTTTTCCTTTTCGTAGGACTGACCCTACAGGAAAAAAACCACCAAAAAACAAAAACGAAACAGGATCTTGGGGGCAATGGGAGGACAGAGTGAGCCCTGTTGACAAGAACCCTACCTATGGGGTCTGGAGGAAGGGCTGGGGCCAGAGGAGGCTGTCTGACAGCGCCCAGAGGATCCTGGCTGTGTGAAGAGTGTGCATGTGTGTGTGTGAGGGAGAGAATTCAGCCCTCCCTGACCCCTGAGCCCAAGTGGCCGGGGAACCCTATTCAGACCCTGGGCAGTGAAAGGCCCATGGAAGCCATGCTGTTCTAGAACAGTCTCCCCTCAGTCCCAGCAGCTTCAGAGACACTCTTGATCAGAGTTAAGAAGAGGCAGTGTGAATTGCTGCCCACGCCCACAGGAAAAAAGGTTAGTTCTTTGCTCAAGTAAAAAAATATCAAATATAATAAATTTATGAAAGCCCATTCACAACATATACAGTCCCAGTTTTATGTTTTGCCTCAGCAGATAGGATGGAGTTGCTTTTCAGAGCGCCAGGGCGTTGCCTGATGGGGCAGGCCCGCTGGTATGTGTGGGGCCTCCAGGGACGAACTCCCTCGTACCCCTGCCAAGAGTCGGCTCTGTCAACTGGGTAGGATGTCAACGCGAGTGCCACTTACTCTGCCTTGTAGAGTCATGAGGCTGAGGCCCACCTCTCACCCCAAAACCCAAAGGAAGGAAGGCCCCTGTGGGCGCTCATTCACGACTGCATTCTGGTTTGCCATGATGCAACAGGCTTCCTCTCAGTATCCTGGCCAGCTGGAGCCAAGACTCACACAATGGACTCGCGGTCCCTGTCCGGTGATGGGGGGAAGTCTGCGAGATCTTCACTGCGGCTGTAATCAGACACCCGCACCTGGAGGTTATCACTGGTGGCCCTGGTGACGCTGTCGTAGGAGGGTGGGAAGGATGTGGAGGAGATGGAGGAGCTGGAAGGTGGGCCCAGGCGCCGGGCGAAGTTCTCGTTCATCATGTAGGCAATGAGGCCCTCTCGTTCAGGGGCATCCTCATCAGAGAGGCCGCTGCTGCCTGTCTGCTGCCGAAAGAGAAAGGAGGCATGCTTCACGGAGCGCTGCAGCAAGTGCCTCCGGAAGGCTCGCTGGATGACCGTGGCTGACACCTCCTCGTGCTTGCGCCGGAGGGTGGTGGTGATGGGCTCGTAGGAGATCTTGGATGGGTTGGCCGCCATGAACTTCTCCTCCATCTGGATCTTTAGGGCATCCATCTCCCCAGACTCACCCAAGACCCTCTTGGTGAAGGCAAAGAGGATGTCCATGCAGTGGATACGATCCCCGCTCACCATGGGCAGGTCCATGTTAATGAGGTTTATCTGGTTGGGCTTGGCGATACGGAGTGGCTCGGACAGGGCGTCGGCGAAGTCTGACAGGGCTGCGTACTCAATGAACTGGGTGGCCTCGGGGTCAAACTTCTCCCAGATCTCGTAGAACATATCAAAGTCATCCTCGCTCAAGGGTTCAGTGCTCTCCTCCGTGGCCACGCTGAAGTTCTCCAGGATGATGGCAATATACATGTTGACCACGATGAGGAAGGAGATGATGATGTAGGTGGTGAAGAAGAGGATGCCCACAGCTGGGCTCCCACAATTCCCCCGGGAGCCATTGCTGTTGGGCAGGTTGGGGTCGCAGTATGGGGGGCCCGTGTTGAGGATGGGGCTGAGGAGACCATCCCAGCCAGCTGACGTGGTAATCTGGAAGAGGCACAGCATGCTATTGGCGAAGGTCTGGAAGTTGAACATGTCATCGATACCAGCTTCCCACTTGACGTATGCAAAATTGGCCATGCCGAAGATAGAGTAGATGAACATGACGAGGAAGAGCAGCAACCCGATGTTGAACAGGGCAGGCAGGGACATCATAAGGGCAAACAGCAGCGTCCGGATCCCCTTGGCCCCTCGGATCAGTCTGAGGATGCGGCCGATTCGGGCAAGACGGATGACGCGGAAGAGTGTTGGGGAGAAGAAGTACTTCTGGATGATATCTGAGAGCACAGTGCCTATGGGAAACAACAGAGACTGTGGTCACTGATGACACAGGCTCTCTCCAGCCCAGCATCACTGGGGTATCTGAACAGTGGTCAGCCCTTCCCAACTCAGGCAGCCAGGACCCTGCCTCTCCCACTTAGGACCCACGTCCTTTCCAAAACATCTTCTCAGGCCCTCTGTCATTCAATCTCTTAAACAGAACTGTGCAATAAAGCGGTACCAGCCCTGTCTTCTGGACAATGGATTCTGAGACCTGAGTATCTTAAATACCAGAACTCAGACTTAACTCCTGGCCTCTCGCACTGTGGTCTCTTAGATGTTTGTTAGAAATGCAGCCTCTGAGCTCCACCCCCAGACCCACTGTGCTTTCTTTAACCAGTCTGGATAACTGCGCTGCATCTCTCCAAGCCTCCAACACTGACCCCTGAATGGTTCTCACTCTTGTTGCTGACATCCTGAAGTCTCTAACGCTTCTCTCCATTCCCCACCAGGTACGCTCTGGCTCGCTCACCCCCTGGGAAATAAGGGTGTTCCCAACCTTATTTTCTGCTTCTAACCACCTGCTCATGACTGCAGCCCGGCCTGACCCCTGTGCTACTTCGTGAGCTCAGAAAAGGCAGGGCCTGCATTTGGAAGGATAACAGAAGTTAGAGTCACATCAAGGCAGAGCCCCATGGGGTAGGGGAAGTCAAGAGTTTAGACTTTGAGGACAAGCATCCAAAATAAGAATAAAAAGAACAAGTAAGCTGTACTTCAAAATTAAGAAAAAAAAAAAAAATTGTGCTTCAATGGACACTATCAAGGAAAGTGCAAAGTTAACCTACAGAAATGGGACAAAATATTTGCAAATCATACACCTGAGAAGGAACTGGTATTCAGAATGTATAGCAAACTCTTGTAATTCAGCAATTATAAATAATCCGATTTTAAAATAGGCAAAGGATTTATATAGACATGTCTCAAAAAAATACACAATGACCAATAAGCACATGGAGAGCTATTCCACATCATTAGTCATTATGGAATGCTAGTGTAAGCCACAATGAGACATCACTTCACACCTACTAACCTGTAGCTGTCGAGTAGATTCTGACTCATAGCAACGCTGCAGGTCAGAGTAGAAGCCCCACAGGGTTTCCGAGGCTGTAAATCTTTACAGAAGCCGACTGCCACATCTCTTTCCCATGGAGTGGTTGGTGGGTTCAAACTGCTGACCTTTTGATTAGCACCTGAATGTTAACCCACTATACCACCAGGGCTCCTTATTCACATCTAATGGTGTCCTGGTGTGGTGCTGTAGGATAAGCACTGGACCGCAAGGTCAGTTTGAAATACAATGTTGGCAATTCAAACCCACCAGTCGCTCCTCAGAAAACCTATACAAGGTTGCTATGAGTCAGAACAGACTTGAAGGCACTTAACAACAGCAACAACAGGATAGTTAAAATTTAAAAAGATAGTAAAAAGGTATTTAAAAAGATAGTAAGTATAGTCAAGAAATCAGACGACATATTGCCTTAAGCAAATCTGCTGCACAAGACCTTTTTAAAGTGTTGAAGAGCAAAGATGTCAGCTTGAGGACTAAGGTGCGCCTGACCCAAGCCATGGTATTTTCCATAACGTCATATGCATGCGAAAGCTGGACAGTGAAGGAAGACTGTAGAAGAATTGATGCTTTTTGTTATAGTGTTGGAGGAGAATATTGAAAGTGCCATGGGCTGCCAAAAGCACCAACAGATCTGTGTTAGAAGAAGTGCAGCCAGAGTGCTCCTTGGAGGCCAGGATGGCCAAACTTCGTTCGTCTCTTATACTTTGGACATATTGTCAGGAGGGATCAGTTGCTGAATAATGGTAATCATGTTTGGTAGGGTGGAGGGTCAGAAAAAAGAGGGAGACCCCCAATGAGATGGATTGGCCAAGTGGCACATCGATGAACACAAGCGTGGCAACAGTTGTGAGGTTGGCTCAGGATCGGGCAGTGTTTCATTCTGTTGTGCATAGGGTCACTATGAGTTGGTACTGACTCGATGGCACCTAACAACAACAACAACAAGTGTGGACAAAGATGTAGAGCACAGTGATAGTGGGGATGGTTGAATGGTGCAACCAGTTTGGTAAACAGTTTGGCAGCACCTCAAAACATTAGATCAGTGGTTGTTGGGGGTTGGGAAAAGGGAAAAAATGGGGACTGGTTGTTAATGATGTAGGGTTTCTTTGTGGGGGTGATGAAAATGTTCTAAAGTTAGAAGGGGCTGATGGGTGCCCAATTCTGAGTATATGCATGAACTGTATATGTTAAAGGGTGACTTTGATGGTATATGAATTATTTCTCAATACAGCTGATACTGGTGTGGCACTGTAGGATCAGCACTGGACTGCTAACTGCAAGGTCAGTGGTTCAAACTCACCAGCTGCTCTTCAAAAACCCTATACAGCATTGCTAAGAGTTGTAACTGACTCAACGGTACTTAACCATCACAACAAAGCTGTTCCAGAAAAAAACTTCGGTCTCTTGAGGTCATGCAGACATGGATCCGAATCCTCTCTGCTCCTCCTTAGCTGTATGATCTGCTTCAGTGCTGATCTTATAAGGTGAATTGTATGAGATGGATGATGTCTCAAAGAGCCTAGCACACATCTCGGTGGTTGGACTCCAGAATCTTGTGAGTACTTACCTCACCTCTTCCTCCTTCAACCTAGGGCTCTGGTTTCTCTTGGGAACAAGTCTCCACCCCCTTTCTCACTCATCCTTAAATGTCTCCAAGTACTCAGAGAAAGCTTGTGTTCCAGGGTGTCCTGGAACATGGGGTCAGGTGGGGCTATTGGACCCTCTTCTAGTTTGGTCCCCTTGGTTTGAGTGGAAAGTTCTACAAAAAACCTCTACAAAAAAGTTCTCTGTAGAGGTTTCTCTACAGTCTCAGAAAGAGACTGAAATTGGGAGAGGGGTTCATGGAAAAGAACAAAGAATTAAGGCCAAGTGTTGGACTTGGCATGGTGACCTGCCTCAGACCCAGGGACTGGAAGAGAGTCTGACCTAAGGAGGGCTTCTCTATCCAGCTGACTTGCACACTTACCCACAATGGAAAGGATGACAACAACGAAGTCAAAGATGTTCCAGCTATTGGTGAAGTAATAGTGGCGCAGGGCAGTCATCTTGACGATGCATTCGCCCGTGAAGATGGCCACGAAGAGCAGGTTGATCTTGGCCAAGATGTTGACCTTCTCAGGGCTTTGGTCATCTGTCTCCACCATCATGGTCACCATGTTCAAGCAGATGAGAAACATGATGGTGACGTCAAAGGCCTGCTTGGTCACAATGTCGAATATGAAGCCTTGGTACTTGTTCTGAAAGGAGGAACAAACACTGTGGGCTCAGCAGGGACCACAGAGAGGCCTGCAAGTCCCTATCACTGCCTCTCAACCCAACTACCCACTCTTCTACTCTGCTATCTGGTGAGGTCATCATCCTGTCAGGCTCCTGCAAATACCCTGCAAAAAGGTCTACTTCCTGCGGAAACACTTCCTGCCTTCAGGGCCCAGTTCTGAGGTACCTCTTCTCTGAGACCTTCGCTGATGCATTGTTAGGAAACGAATTTCTTCTACCCTGTGCTTCTCTTTTAGCTCTCACTGCCTCAAATTTAAAGTTCAATCCTAGTAATTGTGTCAACTCATGGGCTTAATAGACTTCCTTCACTCTTTATAAATTATTTATTCTAAAACTGTAGAGATCATGGAACAATATCACTAATATCACACACAAGCAAAATTTTGCTGAATTGAAAAATGGCTACAACAGTACATGACAGAGAACTGCCAGAAACTCAAGCTGGATTCAGAAGAGGATGTGGAACTAGAGATATCACTGATGATGTCAACTGGGATCCTGGCTGAAAGCAGGTTACCAGGAAGATGTTTTCCTGTGCTTTATTGATTATGCAAATGCTTTCAGTTGTGTGGATCATGACAAACTATGGATAACACTGCAAAGAATAGGTATTCCAGAACACTTGATTGTGCTCAGAAGGAAGCTGTACAAGAACAAGAGGATACTGAATGGTTTAAACCCAGGAAAGGTATACGGCAGAGCTGTATTCTTTCACCATACTTATTCAGTCTGTATGCTGAGCAAATAATCTGAGAAACTGGATTATATGAAGAAGAGTGTGGCGCATCAGGATTGGAGGAAGACTCATTAATGATCTGTGATATGCAGATGATACAACTTTGTTTGCTGAAAGTTAAGAGGACTTAAAATACTTACTATTAAAGATCAAAGACCACAACCTTCAGGATGGATCACACCTCAATGTGAAAAAAACAAAAAATCTCCACAATTGGACCAATAAATAACATCATGATAAATGAAAGAAGACTGAAGTTGTCAAAGACCTAATTTTGATTGGATTGACAGTCAACACTCAAGAAATCAAACAACATTTTGCACTAGGCATATCTGCTGCACAAGGTCTTTTTACATTGTCAAAAGCAAAGATATCAGTTTGAGGATTAAGGTGCTTCTGACCCAAGCCTGGTATTTTTAATAGCTTCATGTGCATGTGAAAGTTGGACAATGAATAAAGAAGACTGTAGAAGAATTGATATATTTGAGTTATGGTGCTAGAGAAGAATATTGAAAGTACCATGGGCTGCCAGAGGAATAAACAGATCTGTGTTGGAAGAAGTACAGCTAGCATGCTCCTTGGAGGCCAAGATATGTCTCACTTCGGACATATTAGCAGGAGGGACCAGTCTCTGGAGAAGGACATCATACTTGGTAATGTGGAGAGTCAGTGAAAAAGGAGAAGACCCCAATGAAATAGAGATGGATTGGCACAGTGGCAGCAGCAGTGGGCTCAAGTATAACAAAGCTTGTGAGGACAGAACAGTGTTTCACTCTGTCATGCTTACGGTTGCTGAGTTGGAACCAACTCCACGGCACCTAACAACAGTAAATATATTTATTGTGTTTTTAATTGTAAGCAGGCCCATATTAAAGGAATCTTGGTGGCTAAGTGGTTATACTACTCAGCTAGGAGATGAAAGATCAGGGGTTTAAACCCTCCAGCTGATCCATAAAGAAAGATGTTTAAAGTCTGCATTTGTAAGGATTTACGGCCTTAGAAACCCTGTGGGGCAGTTCTACACAGTCCTATAAGTTTGCGGAGTCAGAATCAAATCAACGGCAGAGATTTTGGTTTGGTTAGATACAAATTATTTGGGGGAAGAGGTGAAATTATAAATAATTGAACACACACACAACTAACCCCATGCAGAGCACAGTGAACATGAAAGAATCAGGTAAAATGGACTGGACTGAAATCTTGAAACTACCACTTATTAACCAGTAATTTAGGTCATGCTACCTAATTACACTCAGTTACTCTCATCTCCACCACTATAAAACATAACACATTTTTTTGGACACTGGGTTGATCAGGCCAATGGGGTCAGCCTAACAGAGGACCAAGCACCCCCTCCAGGCCCCATAGACCAGGGCAAGGAGTTGTAAAACTGAGGCTATGAAATGGGGCTAGGGCCTGCGGATACCTCCTTGCTCTCCTGGGAAAAGTGTGTACCCTGGTTGGGGACGAGGGTCTCGCTCAGAGGCAGGTGGATTCCTGTGGGCAGGGAGCACCCCAGGATGCCACTCCCTTCTTACACCCTCCTCACTAGCTCCAAGAGAGCAAAACAGCCGTGTGTGGTCAGACAGCGGGGAGGGTTGCTCCTTCCCTAGACTGGTGTGTGGTACAGAGGTCTCCCCGCATGCTCACAGCAGTTCTTCCCCACGCCTGACTGACTCACCAGGGGCCGAGGGATGGGCTTCTGAGGCTTCTTGGATCCCAGCTTCTTCATGGCGTTGTAATACTTCTTCTGCTCCTCTGTCATGAAGATGTCCTGGCCCCCTAAGTGCAGAGAGACAGGCACCACGTCATTTTGGGGCCCCCAGGGGTCCCAGTATGGAGAGCACAGGGATCTTCCCTTTTTGATGAGGGTACAAGGGTGACCCCCCCATCTCTGCTTCTCAAGATGAAAGAATGTTCTTATTTTATATCAGACCGTCTTTTTCAGGCTCTCTTCTTCTCCTTCACCCTCACGTCTCTCTGGCTTAGAGATCTGGAGATCCAGTTCTCAGCCCCTCCCCATCCCCTTGCTCAACTCAGCTTGCCCATGATTCTCTCGATCCACTTTGTTGTCTACAGCCTACTTGGTGGTACCCCTAGGCTGGAGCTCTGAGAAAACACTGCGCCTCTCGGTCTTGTAACTTTCTCTCACAGGTTCCAGCCATATATCCTGATGATGGACCAATTGAATAGTCTACCCCCACCCCAGCGTCCCTCAGGAGCCTCATCTTTTAGGTAGACTAGGTCAGGTATGAGACCTCCTCCAAAGCCCCTTGTTGTATTACATCCATGGACATAGCCCTCTCCCCATTCCAGCAGGAACAAGAGGAGGGGAACAGGGAAGAGGAACTGAGGCCTGGAGCCAGAATGGGTCCTCAATCCCCTGGTACCCAGCCCTGTCCTGCCTAGCTGGGGAGGAACCTGGGCTCTACATATCTTTTTTTTCTGTTGGTTGAAGTTGTCGATGATGACACCAATAAAAAGGTTCAGGGTGAAGAACGATCCGAAGATGATGAAAATGACGAAGTAGATGTACATGTAGAGGTTGTATTCCCACTGGGGCTGTTCTTCGTACTAAGGGGGAGAAATCAGACAGGGTGTCAGACCGGGGAGAGGAAGAGATATGATCTAGGGGACAAGATCGGATGTGTTCTGGGGATCATACAGCAGTGGCCTGGGAGGCTTGTGTGTGTGAAGGCACAAGATTGGTAGGGTGTTCACTCAGTGGGAGAGAGGTTGCGTCCAGAGGCGGGGCAGGCCACCAGCACAGATGTGTGACTCTGGGTGAATGCAGAGCAGGGGCAGGTGGTGACAGGTGGGAGAACAGCCCTGGGCTCAGGGTGGCTCATGATGAGTGCACAGCCTCAGCCCCTGGGGACTGGGAGGCTTGAATACATTGGCCATCTCTCCGGCTGCACTGTTTCATCACTGAAGGATTGGGTCCAGGATGAAGAAGAAACTACTCAAGTTTCTGTTGCTTCTATCCATCCTCCGGGGAAGGACTTTAAGATTAGGGTGAACTATGCAGCATAGTGGCTCTGTAGGATAAGCACTGGCCGGCAAACACAAGGTCAGTAGCTCGAGCCCACAAACCGCTCCATGGGAGAAAGATGAAGCTTGCTGCTCCTGTAAAGATGGACAGCCTTGGAGACCCTATACAGTGTGGCCATGAGTTCAGAACTGACTCCACATCCCCTTACAACAATTTTAACAACAATGAATTTAATGAAAGAGACACTTGAAAATTTTGCAATTCCTTGGAAGGCCACACAGGAGCACTGGTGGTGCTGAGGATTAGGCATTGGGCTGCTAAATGCAAGATCGACAGTTCAAACCCAGCAGACACTCTGTGGGAGAAAGATGAGGCCATCTGCTCAGTAAACATTCACAGCTTTGGGAACTCTACATAGGGGTGCTGAGTGTATATCGACTCTCTGGCAATGAGTTTGGTTTTAGGGGGTTGGGGAGTCATATAATCTTGTCCCAGGATCAGGGATGGAGTCACATCCAGAGAAGTGGAGTCACAGGTTGACACAGGAGATCTTGTCCTTGTGGGCTGGGCTTTCAGATGTGGGCATAGGTGCTTGATTTGGTGAGAGGGACCAGTGTGTCAACTTACCCCCCTGGAATCAACAGCCGCATACATGATGTCCATCCAGCCTTTAAAGGTTGCCTGGCACGAAAAGAGAAGATTAAGAAACATGATGTAACTTGACACCTGGCCTGAGCCACTCAGGACTCCTGCCTGGACAAATGAGCCCAGGACAAACTCCCCTGCAAGAAGCAGGCATCCCATCCCCACTCCAGCAATCACCAACTGACCAGGAGATCAGCTGGAGGTGGCATGGGCTGGGTGTGCAGGGAAAGCCTGCTCCAGACCCCCATGCAGGCCATGCACTGGGGAACTAGTTACTTAATTGAGGACAAGATATCCAGAGACTGATGAGGCAGGAAGGGGTCTGTCCTCAGTTCCCTATGTCTACAATGACACAGTAGGTGTCAGGGGCAAAGGGCCAGAGAGGTGGGGCTTGGGCTCTCTGCTTCAGCTTCAGGTCCTCATACCTAGCTAGAGGTGTCTTTTGCTCCTTGGATTTCCAAAGGCAGTTGCTATAGAATCCCAGTCTTCCACTATACTTAAGGAGGCCTTTTTGCTACTGTTGTTCTGGTAAATGTTTAACAACTGGCTTTCCAGAAGAAAATAATCCTCGATTGATGTGTATGACAGTTTTTCTGGTGTAAATATTCCCACCATGGTTGACTGCAAGTTACCAACATGACATTACCGAACACAGAGCTGTGAAGAGATGCCCAAGAGCACGGGAGTTGTGCAAATACATGAGACCCGAATAACCTGAGCATTGCTGTTGTTGGCTGCCGGCGAGTTGGCTCTGATTCATAGTGACCCTATGCACAACAGAACGGGCAAATGCATCAATTCTTCTACAGTCTTCCTTAATCATTGTCCAACATGCATATGAGGCTATTGAAAATACCATGGCTTGAGTCAGGCACACCTTAGTCTTCACACTGGTATCTTTGCCCTTGAATATTTTAAAGAGATCTCGTGCAGCAGATTTGCCTAGTGCAATCCATTGTTTGATTTCTGGATTGCTACTTCCGTGAGAGTTGATTGGGGATACAAGCAAAATGAAGTCTTTGACAACTTCAGTCTTTTCTCCATTTATTATTGGTCCAGTTGTGAGGAGTTTCATTTTCTTTACTGAAGGCTGTGGTCTTTGATCTTCATCAGCAAGTATTTTAAGTCCTCTTGGCTTCCAGCAAGCAAGGTTGTATCTGCATATGTTGTTGTTGTTGTTGTTATGTGCCGTGGAGTCGGTTCAGACTCATAGTGACCCTGTACAGGGTTTCCAAGGCTGTAAATCTCTACGGGAGCAGAAAGCCTCATCTTTCTCCTGCGGAACAACTGGTTGTTTTGAACCACTGACCTTGCTGTTTGCAGCCCGATTCGTAACCACTACGCTACCAGAGCTCCTTATAGGTACGGTGAAAAAATACAAGCCTGGTTCACAGCTCTCACGATTTTAAGCCATTCAGTGTCCCCGTGTTCTGACTGAACAAGTGCACTGGTCTGTGTTCTGGCTCCTCATGGGCACAATGAAGTATTCTAGAATTTGCAATGTTGTCCATAGTTTGTCATGATCCACACAATCTAAAGCTTTTGTGTAGTGAACAAAGCACAAGTAAACATCTTTCTGGTATTTTCTGTTTTCAGCAAAGATCCATTTGATGTCAGCAATTATATCCATAGTTTCACATTCACTTCTCAATCCGGCTTGAATTTCTGGTAGTTTCCTGTGGATGTACTGTTGCAAGTATTTTAAAATTATCTTCAGAAAAAAATTTACTTGCATATGATATCAGTGATATTGCACAATGATTTCTGCATGCCACTGGGTCACTTCTCTTTGGAATGGGCACAAATACGGATGGATCTCTTTCAATTGGTTGGCCACGAAGTTATTTTCCAAATTTCTCAGCATAGATGAGTGAGTGCTTCCGGTGCTGCATCAGCTTGTTGAAAGATTTCAATTTTCATTATTTTAATTCCTGGAGTCTTGTTTTCTTGCCAATGCCTTCAGTGTACCGTGGACTTCTTCCTTTGGTACACTTGTCTCTTGATCATATGCTATTCTTGAATGGTTGAACATTGATCATTTCTTTTTGGTACAGTGACTCTGTGTATTCCTTCTGTCTTCTTTTGATGCTTTCTGCATCATTGAGTATTTTGCCCAGAGAATCTATAATATTGTTTAAGTCAAGGTTTGAATTTTTTCTTCAGTTCTTTCAGCTTGAGGAATGCTGAATGTGTTCTTTCCTTTTGGTTTTCTAACTGTAGTTCCTTGCACATTTCATTATAATACTTTGTCTTCTTGAGCTGACCTTTGAAATTTTCTGTTCAGTTCTTTTACCTTCTCATTTCTTCCCTAGCTCTGGCAACATGGTCTGCCTGGCTCTGGACTGCTATGAAGATTTTGAAAGAGCCAGAGAAACATGCTTGGTGGTCACAGCAATTGCCCAGTGTGTCTTGGGCAAAATCCAACCTTGTCCTAGGCCACTTTTCGGGGCACAAGCTTAGCTTCACAAAATTTCTGTGTCTCTGAATTCTTATAAGGTAGGCAGGGTAGATGGGGAGATGGAGGCCCCAAGAAGGTGAGTTACTTCATGTCTCTGTGCCACTGCAGCACAATGTGGACCCTGTGCCTTGTGAGAGAAAAGAGGCCTGAAAATGTTCTGCACATGGCTAGGGACCATCAAAAGTTACAAGATGCTAGTGAACTAACTCTTGCCAGTCCCTAAGCAGTTCTGCCCATCTGAAAGTTCTGAGGGACAACGTTCCTCTTCTCCTTTTCCTGTGTTGCAGGGAAGTCTTGGTAAAAGCAACTTATCAGGAATGGCTGGAGGAGGGGAAGATGTGCAGAAAGTAGAGTCCACTGAATTCTTTACTTGGGGAGGAAAGACATGCATCTGGGCTTAAGATTGGAATGGCAAGAAAAGTAAGCAACCTGAGCTGTATGCATTCTGGTTCTGTTTGCATTTCGGTTGTCAAGCCCAGTGGTAGGCTTATTTTCCACATGTGTTATTAGCACTGAAGTTACTTGTGCTTACACATCTGTGGAAACTTTGGAAGAACTGCGCAGGGCCGTGCATATTTAAATATCACAATGGGACGTCAAAAAATGGAAGCAAACACATCCTTCTAAACAATACAACCTTTTATAACAGAGGGTGGCCAGAGTCACAATTTTGCTAGTAGTTCAGGCCTTGGATAGTCTAAGGTCTTAACATTTTAAACCTGTGCCCTCGCGTTGCCAGACCGACAGCGTAAAGAGGTCAAGCTGGCTGGTGAGCTGGGTTGCAATGCTCAACATGGAGAATGTGCTATCTGCTCCAGAGCTGAAGGCCTGAGGACTGCCCAAGGAGCCAAGATGTCCCTGGAGAATCCTTAATCTTTGGGGGCAGTGTGACCCTATCATGAGGATCTAGGGTGACCCTTGTCCCACTCCTGCCCATGCCATGGGTGAAAACACCTGCTTCTGGAGAGCCAGTAGGAGGAAGGAGTCAGTCTTCGCCAGGACTTACCACCTGCAGCAGGGCCAAGTAGCCAGCCCCCACGTTGTCAAAGTTGACTTTCACTTTGGTCCAGTACAGTTCGCCAGTCATGTTGAAGGATTCACACTGGCTCTTGTTATTCACGATGGTGTAGTTCAGAGGCAGGTCTCCCTCAGTCTGGTTGATGCACTTCCCAAACTTCCCCGCGAAGAGGTTCACGCCCATGATGCTGAAGATGAGCCAGAAGATGAGGCAGACCAGGAGGACGTTCATGATGGATGGGATGGCACCCACCAGGGCATTGACCACAACCTCAAAGTACAGAGAAGAGGCTCAGCTCACGGGGGAGCCCAGAGGATACGCAAGACCCCCCAGCTGAACTCGCTAACTCCATATCTATACCACTCTAAAGTCAGATGTGATTTCCTTGATTGGTCCTTCCCTGAAAACTTAATTTTCAACAGGGTCTCTACTAATTAAATATGCTAGGAACGTGATGGAAACAGATTTCTACAGTCACATTTCTAACACTTCACACCTCCTATCAATTCCATCAGCTGTTTCATTCTCTGAATTAAATTTCAGGTACGCTGAAAGGCTTCTGTTACCCAAATGGATGTTCTCCCTTAAAGTACTTAGGGACCTCCGTGTGGCATGTTTGGAAGGAGCTGACAGTGTGTCTCTCCATGGAGCCAGGGCCTCAGCCCCTTCATCTGAAATCACAGCACCCAAGAAAGGCTTCCTTGACAAATGCATTTGGGGCACTCCACTCCACTCAGGGCCCATGTCCCCAGCTGTCTGTGAATCAGGGACATGTTTGCAGTAGAGACTGAAAGGGAAGCTGGGTGTGGGGTTGTGTGGTGTGGCGCACAGAGGGCCTACCTGCTGGCATGGGTAATGCTGACACACATAAGAGAAGTTCCTAGTTGCTCAGCAGCCCCAAAGAACCATGGGAATAGAGTGGCAAACCTAAGTCTCAAGGGGCACCAAGGTTTGGGTGGGTGGGAGGGAGGCCCCAGTTTGCCCCTGGCTTGGCTTTGTAAACTGAAATCTCAGCAGAGGCTTTATTCTTGGTAACTAGCTTCCCCCATCTTCCCTCTGGAAGCAAATGTCCTTGCTCCCAAAGATACAATTAACATGGATCACATTATTCTTTAATTGATGACTCCTATCAGACTTAATTCTCCATGAATTGGTGGTGTGGGCAATGTCGAAGTACCCAACCAGACGGTGGGCTTTGATGGTGGTGTGGGTCAGTGAGAGAGAGACACAGGCATCTTCTGAAGACATATGAAATTTGGTACATTTTATCAACTACAAACGTGTATGTAAGTGTACACATGGGTACACACACTATTTTCTAGCTACATCATGGCTATGGTTTTTCTTGATGGATTCTTATATTTGCCTTACACTCAACATTCTTCGGTGAAAGTTAGTAATCTGAAAAATGCACAAGACTCTGCACTGAGAAAATACTGCAAAATCATTTACTATGCAAATGACCATTTCACTCTGCAAACTGATATCCAAGGAGAGAAAAGAGCTCGCTCCACAGCCCTGTCCACTGCCCATCACATCAGATGGAGGGCTAGTCTATGTCTGCCAGAGACACTGGGCATAGAGGGACATGGGGAGTGGGGCACACAGAGATGAGGCCTCCAGGGACGGGGACTAGAGGGACCAGGGTTCTGGTGGAACTGAGGTTATAGCCAAGATGCCTGTGCCTGGTGAGTTCTGCCGCCTCCTCTTTGTCTAGTGTCCTCCCAGGCCCGACTGGAGCACTAGGCCCCTCCAGAGGCTGCCAAGTCCCAGCTGGTCCTCTCCTGGTGATGCTGAATCAGGCAGGGCCACAGGTCTGGGCTGGGCCACTTGGTCAGCAAGCTGAGTGTGGGGATCCCCTCTGCAGAACCACCTCTCACCCTCCCAGTGGAAAAGCAACATTCCCTTCTTACCCTCATGCCTTCAAATCGTGATAAGGCTCTCAGGGGTCGGAGGGCACGCAACGTTCGCAGGGACTTGATGGGTCCCATTTCGGCAAAGCCCAGGGTGTTTGCCACTAGGCTTATCAGCGAGACCTGTGGGAAGCAGAGGGGTGGGGTGGGATGGGGTGGGGACAGCTTTGGAGATGAGATGGTAGGGCTCTCCACCAACCTAAACCAGGGCAGAGTGTGAGAGAGCTGGCAAGCCTTCCTGCATTCCATCTTCATGGCCCCAGGGTTGGGTCCTCTTCTCAGGCCCACCATGTACTGCACCATGTTTCCTGGGCCAGGAGGCAGGAGGCAAGCCCAAGTGTGCCAGGTATTCTACACACATGCTCGGCAAGAGCACCTGTAACCCTTGGACGTTGGAATGCAGTATCCTCCTACAGATGAGAGAACAGGGTGCCAAGGCCCCCGGCTGCTGTGGAAAAGCTGGGACTCAAAACCTGCGTTTTCAGTCCCCATAAGCTTTCTTTCAAGTCACATCCATGGGCCTCCCCATTCCTTTTCCCCAAGAAGCCTCTTTTGGAAAAGGAAGGATAGTGTGTCTTGGGCATGTACAGAGAGACATTCTGGGCCATTTTTCACAGAGTGGGGCGGCTTTGCCACACACCAGCATCTTTCAGGGAGGGGAGCAGTGGGAGAGGCTCGTTGGGAATGGGAGCCACTGGGCTTTGTGTCCTCCATCCACCCCCGCGGGGCATTTCCACTCTGTGGATTTTACCCTTCTTTTGAAGCTCCATGAACACCCACTCCCTTCTTGTGTGGCGGAGATGAATGTTCACAGGCTGAAATGGCCTCCTGTCTGATCTCCCCTGCAAGTATCATTAACACCTCCCTGGGCCCAGGTCAGCTGGGGGTGGGGTGAGAGCAGTAGGGCCTGAGCCCCCACAGCTTCCTCTCATCGGGAAAGCTCCAGGTGGGAGGAGGAAGATTCTAGGACCCACTATGTGCTGCTGCCCCTGTGCCCCTCAAGTGCATCTCTCAGGGGGTCTCCAGGACACCAGGACCACCAGTCTGCCCACCCAGTTGGCAGCCAGGTCTCCTGTGCCTTCTCTGTCCTTTTCACGCTCACTCCACCTGTTCCACCTATCGTCCCCCATCACAGGTGATAGTCCGGCCACCCTTCCAGCTGCTCAGGCCACAAGCTGTGGCGTCATCCCTGCCTCCTCAGGATTTCCTGTTGGCTCTGCCTTCAAACTACAGCCCAAGTCCAAACATTCCTCACCACTTCTACTGTCATCTCTCCCCGGGATTGCTGCCACGGCCTCCCAACTCTTCTCCCTGTTTTCACTTGCCACCTGCCCCTCCCACCCGAGTGATACTTTAAGGACATGAGTCAGGGCATGGTACTTTGGTTCAAAGCCTTCTAGTGCCTCTTCTCAATTTCATTCTAGAGAAAAGTTCACAACTTTTCTCAAGCTGCACACCCCAGTGTAATCTGTCCTCATCCTCTGAACTTCCCCTGGCCCCAACTCTGTCCCAACCACTCTGACTCTGTGGTTCCTCAGTGGACCAGGCACATTCCCAGCACCATGCCTTTGCATTGCTGTTCCAATCTCAGCTTGGAATGTCTACCTGGCACCTCAAGGTCCTTCAAATCTGCTCAAATGTCACCTTCTCAGCTGATTTCAAGTTGAAACCTGCACTTCCCCTCCCAAACCAGGCACCTAATCTCCTTCCTGTCTCTATGTCTTTTTCCCTCAGCTGCACATATCACCTGCTAACATAAAATGAATTGATAATATCTATTATGCTCAGTGTTTGCAGTCACCTTCCTACACCAGAATATAAATTCTATGTGGACACGGGCTTTTCTCGGTTGTGTCTCTGGATATCTCCAGCACCTACAGCACCACTCACACGTAACAGATGCTCAGTAGGATTTACTGGGGTGGGGGTGGGGTGGGGAGAAGAATAAACTGATTCTGAAAACATCCTTGCCCAGACCAGAGGCTGAGGATGAGTTGTCCCATGTAGTGGAGCATGGTCAGTGTCAGAAGAGCTGTATTCCAGCACCCACCCCTCCTGCTTGGCCCTGGGCTCAGTGCCTTTCTCTATATGCATGTTCTCTCACCTTGGGGCTGAGCCGGCAAGCATTGAGTTTCCTTGTCCCTGCCTCAGCTCTGAGTGCCCCAAGATGGTAGGTGAGAAAGTAGGTTTTCCTCTGAAGTCTTTTTCAGTTCCCTGTGACCTGCTGTGGGGGGGATCCCTCAGCAAGAGATCAATCTGCCAGAACACAAGTCCCCCCTTCGGCACCTCTGCAAGGGAATCTCAGGGTCCTTTGCTGACTTCATGGGGGCTCTGAGGATCGCGTGCCTTTTCTCCCCATCTCTGCCCTAGCACTCCTCAGCCCAGCATCGTCTCTGTTACTGGGGGTGATAGAGGCCGGCACTGCTGTCTGGCGTTAGGAATCTCCTCTGACACAACCACTTGCAATTGACCCTCGCTTGGTGGCCCAGGTCTGGGCCCTGGCCAGGCCAAGTGGGGCGTGTGGGGACTGAGTATACACTCTCTGTAATCCGCAGATTCCACACTTTCTGGACAGCTTGCTGTGATCTGCAAAGGTTGGCCCATGTTCTGTTATGCACCACAGCACAGCCTGCTGATTCCCTCTGCCCACAGTGGGCCCACACCCAGGGTGTGCTGTACCTTCATTTAAAAAAATTTTTCTTCCCGCTTTGGCTAATCTTCCACTTGGCGGTGCTTCAGGAACCCCCCCCCCCCCCCCAATAGGATGATGGGACCTGTGCTTGTCCTGCTTGAAGCCCAGTAGTGTTCTGGGATCTTTCAATGGCCGCTCAGATAACATGCCACGACCTTGCCCAGACCTCTCCTGGTTACATATTGGGCAGGAAAATCCACGGGCAGCTACTCGGAGTCCCTTGGCCAGTGTCCTTGGGTTTCATCCTTCTCACAGGTGACTCCACTCACTCGACTCCCTGCCCCCCCCCCCCAAGTTGGTATCTGCTACCTGAGCCAAGAGGGTCTTCACCTGCCCAGCATTCCTTCATCAACCCACTCCCCTCTGACTTTGGCTCACATAGATAAGCCAAAGAACTCTGGTAGTGTAGTGGTTACGAATTGGGCTGCTATCCTCAAGGTCAGCATTTCAAATCTACCAGCTGTTCTGTGGGAGAAACGTGTGGCTTTCTGCTCCTGGAAAGATTTACAGCCTCAGAAACCCAGTGCAGGGTCACTATGAGTCAGAACCGACTCTATGGCACATAACAACCACCACCACCAGCCTGTGGCGCAGGGAGGCTGTCTTGTGGGCTGGCAGACGTTTCACAACCCAGGGCTCCAACCCAGGCTGGTGGCCTCACCTCCGTTTCTGAGAGGGCCAGCACTCCCACCCTGGCCCTGGCTCACAACCTGACCTTGTGACTATAGTTTCCCCCAGAAGCCTGGGAGCTCCTGAGGGCAGCAGGACTTATGACTGCCCACAGATCAGGGGTTCTCAGGGGTTCCAACGGTAGGGCCCTGGAGTCTTGGTGTGGTGCTGTAGGATAGGCACTGGACTGCAATCCAGCTGCTCAAACCAACCAGCAGTGAGTGCCTCAGAAAGCCTATGCAACGGCATTTATAAGTCGGCGCCAACTTGAGGCCACTAACAACAATAACAATGGTAGGACCCGTGCCTCCTTTTCCTTCTCTTCCTCCCAGACTGGGGTCCCTGAGGACTGAGCCTGGGCTTCTCCTCCATGACCCCAGACTCTCAGCTGCTTCTCCTCTGACTGACCCAAGACACAGCTGAGCACCTCCACTCCCACCTTCTGGCTCCCACCTGGCCCTGACATCCCACCCCTGTGCCTCAGCTCCATAATCTTCCTCCAGTCCCTCAGGGGTCTGCACTCACGTCCACGATGAGGAAGTCGAGCCAGCACCAGGCGTTGGTGAAGTACTTCTTGAAGCCGTAGGCCACCCACTTGAGTAGCATCTCCAGTACAAAGATGTAGGTGAACATCTTGTCTGCGTACTCCAGCAGAACCTTGACGGTCTTCCGTTCCTCCAGGTAGATGTCCTCGAAGGCCTGCAGGCAAGGGTGGACAAGGACACAATGCCCTGACCCCCTGCAGAGGCCACCCTGCACGGGGCGACATTTTCTAACAATTACTGGGTAGAACTGAGGTGATCCAAGAAGGCGGAGAGAGAAGGAGAGAAGTGGTGGAGGGGTTCCCCTCCGGGTGTGCCCTTGAGTGAGGGGTGTGCACCTTTGGTAGATTGTGACATGATCTTACATGGTGTATACACAAGAAGGCAGAATACATAGTAAGCAAGTTTCTTCCTTTGCATACAGAGCAAGTCCTAGTTTTGCTAATTAGCATGTCCTTAAGACCTTCTGAAGACTTGCTAACCTCCCATTGTAATGAGGAGAGAAGTCTGCAGGTTCACCTCACAGCCTTCTGGTAGAAACAGCATAAAGCTTTTGAATTCACATTCTATTCTGTGTTCACTCAACTTGCTTTGGAGTCCTGGTGTGATGCTCAAGGATAAAAACCGAACTGCTCCCTGCAAGGTGAGCAGTTCAAACCCACCAGTCACTCCTCAGAAATCCCATGCAGGGCTGCGAGGAGTTGGAACTGACTCAACAGCACTAAACGAAAACAACTTATTTTATATAATTACCTACTTTTCACAGAAAAGAATGATTCTGTTGTTAGGTGCCGGAGAGTTGGTTCCACATCATAGCAACCTTATACACAACATATGGACACACTGCCCAGTCCTGCACCTGCCCCACAATCGTTACTATGTCTGAGCCCAATGTTGGAGCCAGTGAATCAGTCCTCTTGTAGAGGGGCTTACTTAGTCTTCAATGATCAGAACATTAACAAGCTTCACTTACAGTAAGCTTAGAGGTCACTGGGTGGCACCACTCGTTTGCACTTGATTCAACTACTAACTGGAGGATTGGTGGCTCAAACCCACCCAGAAGAGCTATGGATGAAAGACCTGCCAATCTGCTTCCATGAAGATTAAGCCAAAACCAAATCCACTGTTGTCAAGTTCATTCCCCCTCCTAGTGACCCTACAGCGCAGAGGAGACCCACTCCGGAGGGGTTCTAAGAAATCTTTGCAGAAGCAGACAGCCTCTCTTTGTCCCGTGGAGCAGCTAGTGTGGTTTAAACCACTCACCCAGTTAGCAGCCCAGTGCTTAATTCACAGAACCACCAGGGATCCTGCTGTAAACATTTCAGTCAAGAAAACTCTATGGAGCTCAGTCTCCTCTAACACACGGGGTCGCCATGAGTCAGAATTGACTAGAATTGACTTGATTTAAAGCAAAACTCGAAATAAATGAAAGTAAAGGCAGTTTGCAGCTTAGGAAACATAGGACTGGCTAGATAAAGTCAAATTTTCCAATCTTCAGAATCTAGGAGTCAGGTTTGCAAAATGCTAGAAGTTGTCTTTCTCCATTTCATCATTCCTGCCTCAACCCACATTCCCGAGTCAACAGACAGACTCAGTGGATCTCAGCTGCCCTCCTCCAACTCCAGCTTCTGACTGTACCTGCTCACCAGCCAGAGTGTGCTTTGTGGCTCCCAGGCTAGGCAACTGAACACGTCAGTGAAGCCCCTAGGGAGAAGCCTACAGGCTGTCACTCCTGGGCCTTCCCTTCTGACTCCGGGGCCTCAGGATGTGGGAGTGAGCCAGGAGCCCATGCTGTCAGCAGTGCCGGTGTATGCATGGCTGAACACATATGGGTAGATAGAACAACAAAATAACTAAGGTCCCCAAAGGACTCTGGGAATTGTTCAAGATAGCAAGTGTACGTTTTCTTTCTTTCCTTCTGATTATAAAGATGACCTATGCTTCTTGTAAAAAAAAAATTCAACTACATAGAAATTATAAAGAAAGCAAAAGTCATCTCTAATTTTCTGATGCCAAGTAGTCACCATTGCTAACATTGTTGACATTCTTCTAAAACCTCTCTGTGTGTGTGCACACGCATGCATACCCTATGATTTTACAAGACATTATACTGGATAGTTTGCTTTGAAACTATTTTTTCCACTAAATAAACACTGTGGACTTTTACCTACTCAGTAATGTGAACATGTACACTAATATTGATCGTATTTTTAAAGGTTGCATAATATTTCATTATTTGCATAGACTGTACTGTATGGAGTCCTGGTGTACTGCTGTAGGATAAGCATTGGACTGCTAACCACAAGATGAGTGGCTCAAACCCACCAATCACTCCTCAGAAACCCTGTATTGGGTCACGATGAGTCAGAACTGACTCGACAGCACTTAACAACAACATACTGTATTTAGCCAATAACCCTATTATTAGACATTTGTTTCTAAATGATTCCTAGTAAAAACAGTATGCTCTCCCCTCCATCTAGGTCTATATGCTTCTGAAGGTGGTGTTTCCAGTTCTCTAACTCTTCTTTAAAAACTTACGCATTCTTTAATTTATACCAAATCGAAATGGCAGTTTTGGCATCCTTGAGGGACTCAAATCATGTTCCTTTGAGTTTTGGGGAACAAAAATCAGTCTACTGATAAAGGAAACGTGTAAAATGCTACAATTTGATGACCTTGACCTATACTTATGGATGTAGTAGCTCAAAATACCAACTGAGAGGGAAGGAGTCTTCACATCCAAAATCAATCCTATCCCCTCTGTATACAGGGTAGATAGGGATGGGCAACTTAAGACATGGGCTACCAAAAATGATGGGGAGATATAGGCGAAGTGACTGGCTTACAAGTTTTCAATAGGGAGTTTAAGAGTGTGCAGGGGAAGTTAGAGTCCCCACTGAATAGTTTTCATCTTTTCTAGATGGGTCTGGTAAAAAGAGATGGGTTTAAGATTCTTATGATTCAATAGTGAGTAATTGTTATCATGACTAATTACGACTGTCACAACTGTAAAAGTAGAAGTTTTGCAACAGAAACAGGGGAGTGGTTAATCTTACAGTCCAGAAACAAAGGACCATAGGACCATCAAGGGAGAAGAGCGCAAGCAGAATGTGGGACCCTGTCCAGAGAAGCAGAAAAGATTATTAAAAAAACAAACAAAAAACCCAGTCTAAAGGGGCAAGACCAAGGCTGTAGGGTAGATGGGGTAAAGCTTCCCAGTGCATTTCTTGTAGAATAGCCCTTACTACCCGCAGATAAAGAGCAGGTGCATTGTTGTGATGGGAAAAAAAATTCTTTGGTACAACTTCCTGGCCTTTATTTACCAATGCGGTTTTCAGTTTTCTTAAAACCTCTTCATAATAAACCCCTGCGTTCTTCTAGAGAATTCAGCAAGATTATCCCTTTGGAATTCCAAAGAACAGTCACTATAACCTTCTGAATTTACCTCTCTGCCTCAAATTTAACTGGCCCAGTATATACCCTCAGAAGCCAAAGCTTTGGTTGTACCTTTTTTTCTTTTGAATGCACTCTAAGGAGACAAGACCTTAGACAGAAGTGTAATACTGAGAGAACGTGTATATAGCCATCCACTGACCATACAGACATGTTTAAACATGTTTTGTTTGGAATATACCTGTGCATGTTATGAACTGGAACCCTATTAGTAATACTTTTTGACTCACCCTTGGATATTTTCTGTTTATCTTCTTTTATATCCCTTAAAAGAGTTTTGGTAGCATAGTGGCTATGAATCGGGCTGTGAGTCGCAAGGTCAGCAGTTTGAAACTACCAGCGGTTCCGCGGGAGAAAGATGAGGCTTTCTGCTCCCGTAAAGATTTACAGCTTCGGAAACCCTGTACAGGGTTGCTATGAGTCGGAACCGATTTCCACGGCACATAACAACAACAATACCAACAAAAGAGTTTAATAATTTCCTCATGCACTGCTTATACATGTCTTATATTTGTCGCTATTTTGAACTTATAGTGCCTGGAGTGTTAAGAAATATTTGAGAAATGTTGTTTATGATTAAACGGTTTCTATTCATATAAAATGAAGAACAATTTTTGTATATTTAATTTATAACTGGCCATATAATATTTCTAATAGGTCTAAAATTTTTCTAGGTAATCATAGTATCTACAAGTAACGATGTATTTCTATTTCTTTACAGTTTTCATAAGTTTCTTATCACTATTTTATAGTATTATTCTCTAACTCTTGACTAATTATATTGGCTAGTACTTCCACTCTTCTAGTTCCTATTTTTGATATTGTGTATTTCATTTTCTTGATTAATTTCACTGCTTGTATGTCAAAGATAATATTGAATAATGAACAACAGCTAAATGGTACCTAAATCATTCTTTTCTTATTCCTGCCTTAAATGAAAACATTTCAAGTGTTTTACTATAATAGTGATGATACAAGTTAGCTTGAGAGAGAAATTTTTCACTTAATTAAGGAAACTTCTTTTGCTACTATTCTTAGAAAGATTCAAAAATCAGGCAATAAGATAATTGCAGGGTTTTTCATCTGTATGCTACTGATATAAATAGGCACCGGTCTGACATTTTAGAATATACTAAGCTATGACATGGAATCCTGGTATGACGCTGTATTGCTAACTGCAAGGTCAGTGGATTGCTAACTGCAAGGTCAGTGGTTCAAACCCATCAGTTGCTTCTCAGAAACGTTATATAGGATTGCTATGAGTCTGAATCGACTTGATGGTAGTTAACAACTTAACAACAAGCTTGACATATTTAGACTTTTGCTGGATCCTATTTGCATATATTTTTGCATCAATATTCATAAGTATGGAATACAAAAACTGGTCTATGATTTTCCTTTTGGTATGCGCTTGAGATTTCTGAAATCACTGCTTAGCTTTCATAATAATACTTTTAAACATTCCATCTTTTTTCAAAGACTAGAATAATTTTAGCAGGAGAAAGATGAACCTTCTTGCTCTTGCAAAGATTTACAACCTTGGAAACCCTATATAATGTCGCTATGAGTTGGAACCAACTTGATGGCACTTAACGATAATAAACAACAGAATCTTTTAAGTAGAAAGGAAAATAACTTTTTTTCTTGAGAATTTAAAAGAATCCACTTTTGGAGTGGATTTTTATATTAGCTTTTCTTTCTCTTTTCTAATTTATTCATTTAAAAATTTTAAATTACTTCATTTGGTTTCAGTAGATTTGGTTTGCTGTAACTTAGCCCTACTTTGGTGAGTAGGGACTTGGTTCTTAAAAACTCATGAGCAGACATCTAAAGTGCAATTTCTGGTCTCTCCCTGTCTGGAGGAAAGAGTGATGAAAAGAGAAGACCCTTGGAAACAAACAGTCCAGTGGACTAATGGACTAATGGACCACTGAACATTACGCTCCATGATTCTGAGATCAGAAGAACTAGATGGTGCCCAAGTACCAATACCAACTGCTCTGAAAGGGATCACATTAGAAGGTCCTGGATAAATGGACAAAAGTCCAAATCATAAAAAGGCACAGACTTACTGGTAAGAAACAGACTGGAGAAATCCCAAGGCTTTGGCCTTTGGTCACCCTTCCAGTCTGGAACTGAATTCGCCATTGTGGCTCAGTTTCCATCCAGGTAGTAGATAGACAACAACACTAGTGAGGTATGCACACCATAGAATGGTCAGCCATTTGAGATCTAAAGGGCAGTGGTTGACGATCCATGCATAACTTCTGACCCTCCCTAACTTAACTGCTAACAGCCTACTGTTGGAGTCCTGGTGTGGTGTTGCAGGATAATGCGCTGGGCTGCAAAGTAAGTTTGAACCACAAGGTCAGTGGTTCAAACCCACCAGCTGCTCCCTGGAAACCATATACAGTGTCACTATGAGTAGGAACCAATCTGATGATACTTAAAAACATTTATGTACTGCAGAGTCCTGGTATAGCACTTTAGGATAAGCACTGGATTGCTAACCATAAGGCTGGTGGTTCAAATCCACTAGCCACTCCTCAGAAAGCCTATGCAGGGTCACTATGAGTTGGAACCAACTCAAAGTCACTTAACAACAACATTATATAATACACCAATATAAATATAGGTGTCTTTTCAAGATGAAATAAAAAGGTTATCTTAGAAAAATGCAAGGGTTTCATGTGTGCTGGTGTAGCTACAACAAGGGCTTCATGAATTTCCTTTATAATGATGTTTACACTAGATTTGTTTATCTTGCATGGGGGGCAACTGCAGTTGCAGATTTCATTCTACGGTACACCAAGCAGATCATCTTTCTGCTGAAATGTCAGGACTTTCCCCTGCTTCTTGGGAGCACTTCTAGTGCTGTATGGGTCCCATGCCAAGATTTATGGCCTTATACTGAATACGAAAAACACAGAGTACTGTGGGCGGTCTGTTTTTACTGGGTACTCAGTTTACTGGAGAGACAAACAGCTCACACATTGATCGTTAGTGACATGGTATTTTTTTTTTTTAAGTCTGCATATGAGTGAATCCACGTTGTTCAAGGGTCAACCGTATAAATGTTGTTAAGTGTCATCCAGTGGGTTCTGACTCATAATGACCCCGTACAGGGTTTCTGAGGAGCGGCTACTGGGTTTGAACTGCTGACCTTGTGGCTCAAACTAGCCTTGCAGCCCAGTCCATTATCTTGCAGCCCCACACCAGGACTCCATATAAAATTAGATCTCTTATTTTCTGTTTTTTTCTCGATTTGTCAAGAACTAATAGAAGTGTAGGGACCATGGTGGTGTAGTGAGTTATGCATTGGACTGCTAGTCGCAAGTTCAGCAGTTTGAGTCCACCAGCTGCTCTACAGGAGAAAGATGAGGCTTTCTGCTCCGTAAAGATGTACAGCCTTGGAACAAGAGTTGGAACTGACTCAGTGGAACACAACCACCACCCAACGGAGGTCCAAAATGATGTCCTGGTGTGGCGCTGTAGAATAAGACTACTAACCGCAAAGTAGATGGTTCAAACCCAACAGCCGGTCCTTGGAAACCCTATATGAGTAGGAACTTAATTCAACAGCACTTAACACAGCAACAGCGGAAGTGGAGTAAGCCCTCTCGTTACTAGTGTACTGTTGCCAGTCTTCGTGGGTTTTGCTTTATATATTTAAATGTTCTTCTATCCCAAGCAAAAATAATCACAGTAATTACATTCTTATTATACGTTGGGCCTTCTTTGTCGGATCTCATTTTATCTTGCAGTCAGTCTTGTTTAATGTTGTTATCAGTGTCCATTTGCCTGACTGCCTAATACGTTCTCTCCATCATTTCACTTCTAATATTTCTGAATTATGCTGTTCAGGTTTGTTATTTGAAAACACATAGCTGACTTGTTTTTTTTTTTAAACCCAAGCCAAGTCCTTTTCTTTTAAAAAGATGAATTTTGTCCAGTTACATTTATTATTCAAACATGTTTGATCTTCCTTCTGCATTATTGTCTGTTGTCAGATTTTAAGCTTCCTTGTTACTTCTTTTCTCTCTTATACTGTTTTCTTTAAAACAGTAAAATCTTTTTTTCTTTAAAAATTTCCCTTAGCAATCTGGAAGGGATATAGTCTTTTGTTTTTAAAGCAAGTTTATAACTTTAAATAACACACTTAGACTTCTCTTTCTCAATATATCATAGACATGGTTTTTTAACAACAGTGCCTGGCTGTCTACCCTGAGTACATTCACCAGACGCTTGCCAAAACTCCTTCTCACTTATACCAGGTTGAGTTTTTCCTCCACAGCCCAGACTAGATGGCACTGGCTGCCCTTGTTTGTGGCTGTTTAAAAACAAAATTTGTTAACATATTGTCAAATCATCCTTCTTTGAAACCTACAGAGATTTGGCTCGAGCTGCCAATGGTAAAACAGCAGGTGGGCTGCAAGTCATGGCTACAGGCCCACTCAGAAATGGGGGGGAGAGAAAGCATGAGGGTGGGAGGCTTCAGAGTGACAGCCACAGGGGCTCCCCGTGGCTGTCCCCCACAGAAGACAGCACAGAGTGGAGGCACAGGGCCTTCTCCCCTGCTCCATGGTCCTAACCCTTCCTTGTGAGTTCCTCATCCGTGGAGTATCACTATATTAGGTACTTGTTCCACCTGGGCCAGGAAATTCCTTATTTGCTTTTCCCTTCTCAATCACAACCCTCTCCACCAACCAATACTTTGTAGACTCTGCTCCAGGGCCCTTGAGAAGGGCTCTGAGAGATCACAGCAGGGTGCTTGGGGCATCCTCCAGACATGACCCAGCTCCATTTGCTTCCTCCAGGAAGTCTTCCTTGATTGCTGCAGCCCTCCCATCACCCTGGCTACTCCACTCTAGTCTTTGCTCAGATCTCTCGTGTTGATATCTGTCTCAAACCTACTGAACATAATGTGGGAGTTCTAAAGGTCGGGGCTGAGGTCTCTTATCCTGCCTCCCCCGCCCTCCCCCCCCCCCCATGGTTTACAGAGCTAGATACAGGGAGAGCTTAGAAAAGACATAATGAACAAATGAAAGGTGAAGACAAACAAATCGCTTGGCGGTTGAGCCAGTGCCCACCATGGTGATCCCTCATGGTACATACTAGAACTGCTCCACAGGGTTTGTTTGTAATAGCTACGGAAGCAGAATGCCAGGGCTTGCCATGGGACTGTATGGTGGGTTTGAACTGCCAACCTTTAAGTAAGTTGTTGTTAAGTGCCGTTGAGCCAGTTCTGACCCATAGTGAGAGGGTTTTCAAGGAGTGGCTAGTGAGTTTGAACCACCGACTTTGTGGATCAAAAAGACTTTGCAGTCCAGCGCATTAACCCACAGTGCCGCACCAGGATAGTTGAGTTCAAACCATTTAGGGCTCTGGAATCCATCTGCCTGAATTCAAATGCCAGATTGACCTCATGTAGGGAATGCCCTTGGGCAAGTTCCTAAATGTTCCTATAGTGGGTTGTATGAGACAAACAGCACTGCCTCGCACTTGGAAGACATGAAGTCAAAGGCTCCATCACTGTCTATAGTTGTTAAGTGCTGCTGAGTCAGTTTCAACTCATCGCAACCCTGTATAGCGTTTATGAGGAGCATCTGGTGGGTTTGAACTGCCGACTTTGTGGTTCAGAGTCCAGTGCTGATCCCACAGCGCCATACCAGGAGTCCACTGTCGTCCCCATCATGGGCCACATCCTGAGGGTCCCGACAGAGCACCAGATCTGTGCACAGGTAGGTGTCACCAAAGCTCCTCTGTGGGAGGCCGGTGACCTGCCACCTGTGTCAGTTGGATAAGTGATCTTGGACACATCATTTTCTTTTTATAGAACAGGGAGGCTGCTAGCTAGATGGCCTCTCTGAGCTTCTCTTACTCTGGCCTCCACATGTACTGTGAGTGACAGGTTTCTACGGTGACTCTTGCTCTGGCTCAGCATTCCAGCTTGCCCCACCCTCTCCTCTTCTTCCTTCCTTCCCTCGATGCCCCCACCCTGTACCCCCAGGAGGGTACCAGCGCTCCACTGCTGAGCAGGATCATGAAGATGATGAAGGTCTCGAACCAGCTGTGTTCCACGATGCGGTAGCAGGTCTTGCGCAGTCGCCACCAGACCTTCCCTGGGGCTTGTGTGGTGTCCACTGCACAGCAGGGGCAGCGCCGGACACAGCCTACGTGGGGAGAGGAGGAGGGGGTGAAGTCTCAATCCAGTCAGTGCTAGCTCAGGGCACGCAGGCAGAAAGTTGGGAGGGCCAAAGAACTAGCTGAGAGCGATGGCAAATGATGGGGTTATGACTCAGTGGTGCTCCCCAGAGAGGCCAGGTGGGCCAGGCATCCAGAGAGAGGGTGCATGACCTGGAAGGTCTGGGCAGTGAAAGGCTGGGGATGGGAAAGACTTCGAGTCTGGGGTCTGCTCATCTGGGAAACTCCCCTGGGCAATGTTCAGGAGCTCCTGGGGGGCTGTGTTCTGGGTCTTCTCCATGTTGGCAGTTTCTGAGCCTTGGGAAGGGAAACTTCTCACTGACAGCTACTGTGGAGGCCAAACCTTCATTTCATTCACAGCTTCCCTCCAATTACACCAATTCATAAAAGTGACAGATGTGTCACCAACACAGCTCCATGCCATTCACCTTCAGTATTTATGGGGGGACTGGTATGTTCTGGGCATCATGTCAGGGCAGCTCCTGCCGCTGTGGGTCACACAGCACATACTATTTCACCAGTCCTCTGTGCAGCCGACCCAGAGGTGCAGATGGAGGAGTGAGGGAGGGCAGGCAGGCATCTGGGTTAGGGAACCCAAGGGAATGCTGGGCCTTGAGTCCCCTCCAGGCAGGGCTGAGGCTGAGCCGAGGCGGCCCAGGGCAGTACCTTCGGTGAAGCAGTCCTCTGGGTCCTTGGTATCCTCTCCGAGGTCAGGGATCTGCTCCAGGAGGTCAGCAGTGTTGGTCATGTCTGCTGTGCTACCCTCGGAGAAACTGTCCTCGTGGGTCTGTGGGCAGGGGCATGAGGGTGTGGCGGGTGAGGGCCTGAGTGTGGGTGGCACCTTCCAGCCTCCAGCCCACAGTCTGGGGGGCCTATCCTCCATGTGCATGCTGGGAATCAGACCTGGCAGGATGGACAAGAACCTTCCACAGAGCCTACTGAGGACCAGTCAGGGTTAAGCCGGGCCTGGGCCTCCTGGCTGTTGCTGCCTTGAGCATCTGTGGTTCTGGTCTGCTAGAGATCAGAGCCGAGTGCAGGGAAGCTGGGGGTGGGGATGATGAAAGGCTTGAGAAAATACTGGGATGGAGAATGTATCTATCTGGGGACAAGACAGACAGTGGACACACTGGGACATTGGTACACAGTGGTGGCTTGGCACACGCAGTACAAAGAGGCATGCTGACACCATGCCAGGGAAACAGCACCACATCCACAACAGAGTCAGAACCAGGGATACACACAGGCAGCAGGGTCGAACATGCAGAGAACAGGCCAGCAACTCCGTCCACGCTTTGTGCCCGAGTCATCTGGGTGCTAATGTTATAAGCAGACCATGGAGTAAGATGGAGATGGTGCTAGAACCTTCCCTGACTGGCCTAACCTCGCACACCCTGAGTTGGAATCTATGGAGGCATGTGCACATAGGAGGTCCCTTGTGAGCACCTGTATATGTTGTGTGTGGGCACAGGTGTACAGGGTGTTGTAGTGGCCACTGCTGGTGTTCTTTCCAGTTACCCTTTACTGTGGTCAGCGAACCCTCTGCAAACGGCTGTGAGTGCTGGCTACTTAGCTGCCCCTTTCTCCAGAACACTGCTTTTAGCCTAGGAGCCGCCTCTCCAAGAAACACTTCAGGGGTTGTGAGCCAACCCCAGGGGTGGCCCCCAGTCAGTGACTGAGTGATATGGGAGCTGTAGAAGGATGGATCTCTTCTCTCGAGTTGGGTCCACATGGGGGGTGCAACCCAAGCTCAAGACCCCCATGGGCTAGGCTCCAGGCTGAAGTGAGATTCCCGTTGACATCTCTTTTAGTAGCATCTTCTTTTGCCCTATCCAGTTTCTCGTACTTCTCTCTAGGTCTGTTCTGAAAACAGTCCCTCCAGAAATTAATTTATAAAGAATCCCAGTCTCAGGCTCTGCTTCTAAGCAACTCCGCCTAAGACAGGTGTGTCAGGGGAAGAAGGTTTCTGTGAAGCAAGGAAAACCTTCATTTACTTCAGATCATATCGAAACTGCCCAAGCTCAGTTGGTCCCATTTCACACTGGCCCAGCATCAAGCTCACTTAGAGGGGAGCCCTTCTGCATTCTTGGCCGTGCCTAGATTTCCACACTTTTCCTTGGATAAAGGATTCCAACGATATCTCAAATCCTCTTTTTAATGGTGAGGTTTGGGATGGAAAAGGGGTGGGGTTGTAGTGGGGGGGGGCAGAGGAGGTCCTCATGCTGGTTTTCCTTTCAGATGGGTGCTACCGAAAGTCTGTGGGACTGAGGTGTAGGAGACAAGGCTCCTAGGGACTAGCTGCTGGTCATCAGACAGGGTCCTTCTCCCAGGAAACACCACAGTGCATCTCTCTCCCTCTACCGCTTCACCACAACTAACCTTAAAGGGATTACAAAACTTGTTCAAAGGTCAACATTTCAGTATAAATGTGTCTTCGCCTGTGTCTTTCCAGCCACTTCCAAGTTGTCCTGCTCCCCACATGCCTTCATAAAACCATAGGGGCGGGGGGTGGGGTGGCGGCACAACTGTGGCCTACACCATCAGGACAATGACCCCCTAGGATCTCACCCTCCAACTGGCCATGACCACAAAGCCTTCTCTGGGTCAATGTGAAGGGACCATGTAAAGGAGTTACACTGCATTGGAATAAGTATTTCCTGGACTGAGGACTGAGGTCAGGCGGTAGCAGAAAGGACAGAAACTCTTCTGTAGCCTTCAGTGCGACATCTTGCCAGCTCTGTCTCAAATGCTCCCGGGGGCCAGGTAGGTAACAGAATGAAGTCAGGCAGGTGGGGTCCCAGGCAAAGCAGAGCTCAGCTGGGGCCAAGGGAATGACCACCTCCTGTTCCCAGCAGGGCGGCTCCTCTTCCAATGTTTCAAGAGAAGTCAGAAATGTAGATTTTTATAGAACAGCCCCTGGGTTCAAGTAAGGCACCCTGGTGGCACAGTGGTTAAGTGTTGGGCTGCTTCCTGAGAGACCCCCCACTCTGAGGGAGAAAAGGCATCAGGCAGTCTCCTTCTGTAAGGACTACACCCTTGGAAGCCTTATGGAGACATTCTATTCTCTCCTAAAGGTTACTGTGAGTTGGAATTTACTCAATGGCAATACGTTTCGTTTGAGTTTTTCATAACGGATTTAAATTAAAGTTTTTTTGTGGCTAGAGGTAGGCTGGGTGGGCCCTGTTTGCAGACTATTTTAGTCCAGGTGAGAAGCAGCTAGCTTGTGGCCACCGTGTCAAGAATTTGTTCTCGGAAGTTTCCTGGAAGTTCACCCTGGGTGGGGGCATTCACAATGCAAACATTTGCCAAGTAGGACCAAGACACATGGACAGAATGCAGTGAGGATGAGCACATAAAGGCGTTAGTCCTGCACCAGAGCCTGGGCGGGGGCTGCTTCCAGAATCTTCCCAGGGGATCCGGACCTCATGCCATCGCTCAGTCTGCAGACAGTGGACGTGGTTCCCACCAGTACATGCAGGCGCACGGCCCAGACCCTCTCAGAGCCTGGTGCAGGGCCAAGTGGTGGAGCCCTAGCTGGCTTCAGCAACAAAGGCGTGCATTACCTCCATGCACCCTGGCGCGGGGGGCTCTGCTTCCCGCTGCTGCTGCCCGTCTGCCGGCACACCAGCCTCTGGCTCAGAGGAGGCGGTCTCTGACACCTGGCTCCAGGCCCTGGGCTCTAGGGGTGTCTCTGGGCCACCGGACACAGGCTGAGATTCCTGCTGAAGAGACCTCGGCCCGTGACTGCCCCCACTCACTCAGCCAGATGCTCTCCAGGGGCCCTGGGCAGTCTAGGGCTTTGCCTTCTGCCCTTTTTCTAGGTCTTCCATCTCAATGAAGACCCCCTCCCTCCTCAGAGGCCCTGAGTCAGTGGCTAGGAGATTCCTGGTGGGTGCAGCCACCCTGAGCCCCACCATTCCCTGAAAGGGTATACAGCTGGGCCACGATGCCCAGTTCACCCATACGGCCATCTCTACTTTAGAAGGACAAGCTGACTTCCCTAGGCCCCATGATGCCCCTGCTTGCCTGCGTGTACACGCACACACGCATCCATATACTACTGCTATTGGCCCTGGGGAAGGAGAAGGAAAGGAGGGGCAGCCGGAACTCCACTCCTAGACGGGGAACATCCTGGAGATCATTAGGAACTGTGGTCCTGACCGTGCCAATCTCCCCGTCACTCTCACCTCCGCTCATTCTGCCACCTGGCCACAGGGTCCACAGGGAGCAGGAGGGAGAGCTGCTCTCAGAGCCCGGGCTCCGCAGCACGGCCCAGACAATCTCTCCCCACTGCGTGACCTAACGGCCCACGGAGAAGCCCTTGAGCCCAGCTCAGGCCAAGGGGAAGCTGTGGGGAATGGCACTGTCTGTTCTGTCCAGACTCTGCTTTCAAGTGTTAAAAATAACAGGTTAGGAGATAAGATAGTGCTGTCTCTGACACTTCCCGTCTTAGGGATGCTTATTTTTAAATCTCGGAATGAGCTCCGGGTGTGGGAGGAGGGGAAGGGGCAGTCAGGAGGTCAGGAGACTATAGCCCTCCCTCACCAAGACTTCTCACCATGTTAATCCTGGAGGGTGACAGTGGTCAGGCTGGGCACTGGGGCTAAGGGTCATGGTTCTGTCCTAGACTCATGGGTGACCTCCTACCAAGTCTCTCTCTTGCCATACCTCAGTTTCCCTATTTGTATAGTTAGCGGCCCATGACCAGCCAACTGGGTGTGACAAGTTACCTTCTAGGTCCTCTCCTGGGCTGGATGAAGGAGGGAGGGCTGAGACCTGGTCTCTGAGAGGCCTCCACCCTACCTCACTGCTGAGGTAGCCTCTGAATGTCCCGGATAGTTGGACTCTGGGCCCAGGACCCAATAAGCACTGCACACATGTTGAGTGGGAGACTCACCTGCTTGCTAGACTCTTCCTCTGAGCCCAGACTGTTTTCCTCGTCCTCCTGATCATCCGTATCTGACTCAGCCACGGCTATGGGGACACACACGGGCTCTGGGTCCCCTGGAGTCCCCTCGCCTGGATGGTTGCCTTCTTCAAACCGTGTCTCCTTGCGGGCCAGGGGTGCCTTCCCCACCTCTTGGGGTGCTGGGGAGCCAGAAGCAGCAATGCAGCTGGGCAGCCGGCCTTGGGAGGTAAGGACAGCTGGCTTCTGGGGCCGTCGGCGCAGGAGCCCACAGCAGAAGTCCCAGGTGGTCCTCTTGACAAAGCGCAGGCCCCTCTGGATGCGGGCCAGGGCCAGCTGCAGATTGTTCATCTCTCCGTCCTCATCAGGGGCTGTGAGGTTGTCTGCGCTAAAGGAGCTGAGTAGCAAGGCCAGGAAGAGGTTCAGAACCTGTCAAGGCAACAGGCCACGCTCACCAAGGTGCTTCCAGGTCATGGGAACTCAGCTCAACTCCATGATGAAGACACTGAGGCCCGGAGACCTTCAGGACTGTTGGTGGTAAGTGGTTCTGAGTCTCAAACCTAGGTCCCCAGGCCCTCATCATCTTGATTTTTTTGTATTTGGATGGTTGGTTATGAAAGAGAAGACAAACTCTAACCCCTCTAAAGGCTGATACACAATTTGAATGGAGAACATGACATTCAAACCCCTTGTGTGCAGACCCAGGTTCAAAGGAAAACCATTGGTTCATCCAATGTCAAAGCCTACAGAGGAGGACAAAGCCTGTGAGGGGGGGCAGGGGCTTATGCAAGGTCGTAGAAGCAGTCCCGGAAGTCCTGCCCCAGAACCAGCTGCCTCTACTCACAGCGTTCCCTGTATCCCTTCCTGTGGCTTTGAGGGTAGTGGGGTCAGGGGGCTCCTTTCTGGGAAGTGAGGCTCTTGTGTAGGATTACCAAAGACAGAATCTTACCCAGAAGTACTAGGAGGTGAAGCAAAAGCTGTGCTCTGCCTCTGAGTTCCCTTGGAGTTAGCTCAAAGACCTGGGGCACATGCTGCCTGCACCCCGACACCTGACTATGTCTTCGAGGTGAAGAACCTGATGATCTGTGGCTTCTGGGGACTAGGTTCAAGAACAGTCAGGGACTTGGATCCTGAGAGCAGATGTTTTTGTGTTGCGTCTGCCAGGTGAAGTAGCCTGCTCCAGGAATTCATTGGGGATGAACAGAGATGGATACAATGAAGAGCAGTGGGCACCCTCAGGGATCCCGGATTACCTGTGTGGTTAAGTATGGAGTGGTGTTTGGATGGATGTTGCACATGGGACCAGACAACTGAGACGAGATGGGAGGGCTCAGGGTTGGTCCACGGAGCCACGGTAAGGGCTAAGGGTTTACTTTCCAGAAGGCACAGTACTTGCTTTTAATAAAACAAGATTTAGGAATTTGAGACCCCTTAAGGGGAGTCTGGAGGACTGCTTGTTGTTAAAGTACCCTGCAAGTGTGAAGTTTGAGCTTTTATTAAGAACGAGAACTCTAGCTGTGTGATAGGGGCTGGGCTTGGGTTGATTTCCCAGACTTGGATGGCGAAATTAAGATGCGGTGGGCTATTCCCAGACACAAGTCAGACTGATCCCTGATCATCACCAGGTGACAGGCCCCTAGACACAACCTCCCCACCATGGTCTTTATGTCTTGTCCTCCCAGACACCCCCAAAGTGGGTGCAGTTAAAGGGGGCTCCATGTAGGGAATGGTTTGAGGCTGGGTACTCAGCTCTCTCTGGTTTTCTAGTCTGAACTCTGGCTTTTGCTTCTCACGAGCCCCCCTGTTCCCCTCCCCACCCACCCCAAAGTTGCTGTCCCCAGGAAGTCCATACCTGACACAAAGCTAGGCATGAACGTTCTCATGAACGCAGTGGGGAAGAGCTAGGCCTCAGAAAGATGTTTTGGTTTACAAAGTAGCACATATTCATGTACACATCTCTTTTCTGTCGTCTATGGAGAGATGATTGCTGGCAATGCCTTTAGTATGCAGTCACTGGGGGTGGGTCATGTGCTGTGATTCAGAGCTGCTGTCTGCAATGACCCGTGGTCTAGCCCCTGGCTCACTCCACACCGGCCCAGGCATGGCCTGCCTCTGTTTACTGGATGCCCACACCTGACCTCTGGCTGGGGGAAGGGTGGAGGTCACCTGGGCAGCCCCGTCCACCTATCCAGACGCGCAGCTGCTCTAGGGCCTCCCTGGTTGCTGGCTTCAGAAGGCTTCTTCCAGTGCCTTCCCTGTCAATCATGTGGCTGCTGGGCCCCAGCCCCTGCCTGATCATCACTTCCCATTTCAATGGCAGTCTTGCTTCCACCCACGCCAGGCAGCAGCCCAATTCCTGAGGCGGCCTAGAAGGGGGCTGTGTGGGCTGGCGTTAGCTTCCCTCCTCCAGCAGCCCTGAATCTTCTCATCCCCAGGCAGATCCGCTGGGAAATCGCAGGGCTCTGTGTGAAAGGGGTGGCTCGGCTGGGCCCTGGACAGAGAGCTTGGCACACTTGCAACTTCCTTGGAATAGACAGACTCTGGGCCAGGGGCTGAATGAGGATCCATGCCCAAGGGATTGGGGAGATGCAGGGGGGCATGGATCCAGCCAAAGAACCAGCCTCTACTGACACTATACACTCTGGGTTCCTTATGTGGGGCCTGAGGGGACTGAGTCTCACAGGTCTGGGCCTGCCCTCTCTGGCCTGGTGAAGGCACATGGGAGGAGAAAGTAGGTAGATTTGGGGAAGGGCTCTGGAGTCTGCAGCCCACAGCACTCAGTCTATTAAATGTTGTTGTTAAGTGCCGTGGAGTCAGTTTCGACTCACAGTGACCTTGTATAGGGTTTCTGAGGAGTGGCTGGTGGGGATGAACCACAAACCTTTCAGTTCCAACCAAACTTGCAGTCCAGTGCATTAACCCGCAGCACCACACCAAGATTCCAGTGATAGCTGGTTCTAAAACCCCTTGCAAGGTCCATGACTGAGACACAACTACCACCTATGGAGTCTGACCAGACAAGTGAGAGATGTGAGCATATGTGGAAGACCTGTTTACCCAGAAGGACTCCATGTCCACAGTGCACACTGACGTCTGCCTGAACCACTGACTCGCCTCAACTCTTACTTCTTCCTAAGACCTTTGCTGGCATTTAGGTTTTGGTCTTTCTCAGCTCTGGAATTCTCCACATTGTAAAGATACAAGGCCAGATGAACCTGCCCCAGGACAGACAGGTGACATGGAGCAAAGCCTGGGCTTCTCTTAACAGGATGGTGGGACCTCCCACAAAAGCTACTCATGGGACACGCAAGGTTCCCACTGGTCCCACAGCCCCTGGACCACCATCTGCCTATACCTGTGCTTAGCTTTTTGCTTGTCCTACTCCTTCCCTCCCTAGAAGCACCTGTTCACCAAGTCAGCTGTAAACCCTCCTCTAGGAAGCCTTCCTTGAATTCCCAAGTTGGAGGGGATCAGGACTCATGGGCTCTGATCACTCTGACCAGCTTAAGAGTCCTTTCAAACATGTCCAAACTCCATTCTGTCAAGTTGGTGAACAACGCCAGGACTGCGGCCAGGTAGGACACACTCACCTTTCTAAGCCTAACAGCATCTAATATAGTAGTGTGCATATAAAAAGGGCTCAGCCAATATTTGTTAAACTGAATTTTTTAAAATTAAAAAAAAAAATCATTGATAGTGAATAGTTGAATAAAATATGTAAATAAGTGAATAAATAAATGAATAAACAATGAATACACAGATGAATGGGAGAATGGGTACAATGCAATGAAGATTTAGTGAGTGGAAGGATGAGTTAATGAATAAGTGAATCGAAAGCTGGATGGACAGGTGAGTGGAGAATAGGATGAATGAAT